AGATATATGATGTCCCTCAGTGTGGAGGTCTATGATAACCCCTATGGTAGAGATCTATGATGTCCCTCAGTGTGGAGGTCTATGATATCCACTATGGTAAAGATCAATGATGTCCCTCAGTGTGGACCTCTATGATATCCCCTATGGTAGAGATATATGATGTCCCTCAGTGTGGAGGTCTATGATAACCCCTATGGTAGAGATCTATGATGTCCCTCAGTGTGGAGGTCTATGATATCCCCTATGGTAGAGATCTATGATATCCCTCAGTGTGGAGGTCTATGATAACCCCTATGGTAGAGATCTATGATGTCCCTCAGTGTGGAGGTCTATGATATCCCCTATGGTAGAGATCTATGATATCCCTCAGTGTGGAGGTCTATGATATCCCCTATGGTAGAGATCTATGATATCCCTCAGTGTGGAGGTCTATGATAACCCCTATGGTAGAGATCTATGATGTCCCTCAGTGTGGAGGTCTATGATAACCCCTATGGTAGAGATCTATGATGTCCCTCAGTGTGGAGGTCTATGATATCCCCTATGGTAGAGATCTATGATATCCCTCAGTGTGGAGGTCTATGATATCCCCTATGGTAGAGATCTATGATATCCCTCAGTGTGGAGGTCTATGATAACCCCTATGGTAGAGATCTATGATGTCCCTCAGTGTGGAGGTCTATGATAACCCCTATGGTAGAGATCTATGATGTCCCTCAGTGTGGAGGTCTATGATATCCCCTATGGTAGAGATCTATGATATCCCTCAGTGTGGAGGTCTATGATATCCCCTATGGTAGAGATCTATGATATCCCTCAGTGTGGAGGTCTATGATAACCCCTATGGTAGAGATCTATGATGTCCCTCAGTGTGGAGGTCTATGATAACCCCTATGGTAGAGATCTATGATGTCCCTCAGTGTGGAGGTCTATGATATCCCCTATGGTAGAGATCTATGATGTCCCTCAGTGTGGAGGTCTATGATATCCCCTATGGTAGAGATATATGATGTCCCTCAGTGTGGAGGTCTATGATATCCCCTATGGTAGAGATCTATGATGTCCCTAAGTGTGGACCTCTATAATATCTCTTATGGTACACATCACAGAACAGGTACACATATCACAGAACAGGTACACATCACTGAACAGATACACATATCACAGAACAGGTACACATATCACAGAACAGGTTCACATATCACAGAACAGGTATACATATCACAGAACAGGCACACATATCACAGAACAGGTACACATATCACAGAACAGGTACACATATCAGGTAAACATATCACACATATCACAGAACAGGTACACATATCACAGAACAGGTACACATATCACAGAACAGGTACACATATCACAGAACAGGTACACATATCACACAACAGGTACACATATCACACAACAGGTACACATATCACACAACAGGTACACATATCACAGAACAGGCACACATATCAGGTAAACATATCACAAGTATCACAGAACAGGTATACATAACAGGGGCAGCAGTGGCTAAGTGGTTAAGAAATCTGACAAACTCTAACCACTAGCCCTCCTTCACTGGGTCGTGGGTTCAAGGCCTACGTGGGGCAGTCGCCTGGTACTGGCCGTAGGTTGGTTGTTTTTCTCCTCCACCAAAACTTGGCACATCCTTAAATGACCATTGCTGTTAATAGGATGTAAAACACTAAACAAACCAAATGTTAATCCTTTAGGTTATAAGATCTGAGATATCTCTCAATGTTGAGCATTTATCTTTACAGTTCAAAGGACACATTTGTGAAGTTCTGGGACCTGGACACCCAGCATTGCTTCCATACATTGGTCGGACACCGTACAGAGGTTTGTTATTGATTATGTCTGCTTACTTACTACATACTTATCTATACCCCATATATTTCAACAATCATTTATGTGTTGTTTATAAAAAAAAAGGCAGTTTGAAGAAGAGGTAAATGATGAAGCATCAATACCAAGGCATCAGTTTGTCTACTGTCATTGTCTCAGATCTACTGCGGTATTTATATAATGACCTGACCTGGGGTCGTGTCCTCGGTAATCAGCTGTGTCAGTGTTGTTGACTGTAGTTAACCTTTACCTGACTCCCTTTTCAGTAATTGCTGTACACATGCTTCACCACTGTGGAAAAATAAACTTCATGTAATCATTTTACTAATCTAGACATGTTTGTTTACAGTAAATTATCAATCCTCTACTAGTGAAACCTAGGCTTTTGGTTGCACAATGGTCATCTGTCCACCCACTATTTCTAACATACAACTCTGTTTTACAGCAGTGGTCAAAGGTCTAATCATTGTAATGATTGTCTGTACCATATCTTTTATAGAATGTTTAAAATTTTCATGTCAAAAATGTTCAGACAATGTGTCATGAACACTGTCCTGTCAAAATGTCAGACAATGTGTCATGAACACTGTCATGTCAAAATGGTCAGACAATGTGTCATGAACACTGTCATGTCAAAATGTCAGACAATGTGTCATGAACACTGTCCTGTCAAAATGTCAGACAATGTGTCATGAACACTGTCATGTCAAAATGGTCAGACAATGTGTCATGAACAACCTCAGGTTAAACTGTCTGACTGTGTGTCATGTACCACTCATGAACTGTCTAGATCAAGGTCTTAGTAATGACTTCTGAAAGGCTAAACGTATTTTGATAAATACATACATACATGTAATACATACCTCAGGTTATGTCTGTATCCTTGTTACTTTGATGGTAGTCTGGTTTGGTAAATACTTTAGTTTAACAGTGTGGTATTTAGGTAAGATATTATTGTAATAATACATTTCTGTGAGATTTGATGTTCACAGGTACATGACTTTGTGATCACCCGTGAAGGCCACAGGATTGTGACGGGATCAGGAGACAGTGAATTACGTGTATGGGACATCAATGACATCACCGAACAGGTAAACCTTTAGCCACAGCTCATCATCACAGACCAGGTACACATATCACAGAACAGGTACACATATCACAGAACAGGTACACATCACATCACAGAACAGGTACACATCACCGAACAGGTAAACCTATACCCACAGCTCATCATCACAGACCAGGTACACATATCACAGAACAGGTACACATCACATCACAGAACAGGTACACATCACCGAACTGGTAAACCTATACCCACAGCTCATCATCACAGAACAGGTACACATCACATCACAGAACAGGTACACATCGCCGAACAGGTAACCCTATAGCCACAGCTCATCATCACAGACCAGGTACGCATATCACAGAACAGGTACACATATCACAGAACAGATACACATCACATCACAGAACAGGTACACATCGCCGAACAGGTAACCCTATAGCCACAGCTCATCATCACAGACCAGATACACATATCACTGAACAGGTACAAATATCACAGACCAGGTACACACATCACAGAACAGGTAAACCTATAGCCACAGCTCATCATCACAGGTACACATCACCGAACAGGTAAACCTATAGCCACAGCTCATCATCACAGGCCAGGTACACATATCACTGAACAGGTAAACCTATAGCCACAGCTCATCATCGCAGACCAGATACACATATCACTGAACAGGTACAAATATCACAGACCAGGTACACATATCACTGAACAGGTAAACCTATAGCCACAGCTCATCATCACAGACAAGATACACACATCACATCACTGAACAGGTAAACCTATAGCCACAGCTCATCATCACAGACCAGATACACATCACATCACTGAACAGGTAAACCTATACCCACAGCTCATCATCACAGACCAGGTACACATATCACAGAACAGGTACACATATCACAGAACAGATCACTGAACAGGTAAACCTAAAGCCACAGCTCATCATCCCAGACACGATACACATATCACTGAACAGGTAAACCTATAGTCACAGCTCATCATCACAGACCAGATCCACATATCACTGAACAGGTAAACCTATAGCCACAGTTCATCATCACAGACCAGATACACATATCACTGAAGAGGGAAACCTATAGCCACAGCTCATCATCACAGACCAGATACACATATCACCGAACACGTACACATATCATAGAACAGGTACACACCCCATCACAGAACAGGTACACATCACTGAACAGGTAAACCTAAAGCCACAGCTCATCATCACAGACACGATACACATATCACTGAACAGGTAAACCTATAGCCACAGCTCATCATCACAGAACAGGTACACAGCTCATCATCACAGAACAGGTACACAGCTCATCATCACAGACAAGATACACATATCACTGAATAGGTAAACCTATAGCCACAGATCATCATCACAGACCAGATAACAGGTAAACCTTTAGCCACAGCTCATCATCACAGACAAGATACACATATCACTGAATAGGTAAACCTATAGCCACAGATCATCATCACAGACCAGATACGCATATCCCTGAACAGGTAAACCTATACAGGTACACATCACTGAACAGGTAACCCTATAGCCACAGCTCATCATTACAGACCAGATACACACGTCACTGAACAGGTAAACCTAGAGCCACAGCTCATCATCACAGACACGATACAGATATCACTGAACAGGTAAAAATAAAGCACAAGCTAATCATCACAGACCAGATACGCATATCACTGAACAGGTAAACCTAAAGCCACAGTTAATCATCACAGACCAGATACACATATCACAGAACAGGTAAACCTATAGCCACAGCTCATCATCACAGACCAGATACACATATCACTGAACAGGTACACATATCACAGAACAGGTACACATATCACAAAACAGGTAAACCTATTGCCACAGCTCATCATCACAGACCAGATACACACATCACCGAACAGGTAAACCTATATCCACAGCTCATCATCACAGACCAGATAGCCACAGCTCATCATCACAGAACAGGTACACACATCACAGAACAGGTACACCTATCGCCACAGCTCATCCTTACAGACCAGGTACACACATCACTGAACAGGTACAGGAGACAGTGAATTACGTGTATGGGACATCAATGACATCACCGAACAGGAAAACCTTTAGCCACAGCTCATCATCACAGAACAGGTACACACATCACAGAACAGGTAAACCTATAGCCACAGATCATCATCACAGACCAGATACACATCACATCACAGAACAGGTAAACCTATAGCCACAGCTCATCATCACAGAACAGGTACACACATCACAGAACAGGTACACCTATAGCCACAGCTCATCCTTACAGACCAGATACACACATCACTGAACAGGTTAACCTATAGCCACAGCTCATCATTACAGACCAGATACACACATCACTGAACAGGTTAACCTATAGCCACAGCTCATCATCACAGACCAGATACACATATCACCGAACAGGTAAACCTATAGCCACAGCTCAACATCACAGACCAGATACACATATCACCGAACAGGTAAACCTATAGCCACAGCTCATCATCACAGGCACACATCACCGAACAGGTAAACCTATAGCCACAGCTCGTCATCACAGACCAGATACACATCACATCACCGAACAGGTCAACCTATAGCCACAGCTCATCATCACAGACCAGATACACATATCACCGAACAGGTACACCTATAGCCACAGCTCATCATCACAGACCAGATACACACATCACTGAACAGGTAAACCTATAGCCACAGCTCATCATCACAGACCAGGTAACATATCACCGAATAGGTAAACCTATAGCCACAGCTCATCATCACAGACCAGATACACACATCACTGAACAGGTACACATATCACTGAACAGGAACACATATCACTGAACAGGTACACATATCACTGAACAGGTACACATATCGCTGAACAGGTACACATATCACTGAACAGGTACACATATCATAGAACAGGTACACATCACTGAACAGGTACACATATCACTGAACAGGTACACATATCGCTGAACAGGTACACATATCACTGAACAGGTACACATATCGCTGAACAGGTACACATATCACTGAACAGGTACACATATCGCTGAACAGGTACACATATCACTGAACAGGTACACATATCGCTGAACAGGTACACATATCACTGAACAGGTACACATATCGCTGAACAGGTACACATATCACTGAACAGGTACACATATCGCTGAACAGGTACACATATCACTGAACAGGTACACATATCGCTGAACAGGTACACATATCACTGAACAGGTACACATATCACCGAACAGGTATACATAACACAGAACAGGTACACATATCACAGAACAGGTACACATCACTGAACAGGAACACATATCACAGAACAGGAACACATATCACAGAACAGGAACACATATCACAGAACAGGAACACATAACACAGAACAGGTACACATCACTGAACAGGTCCACATATCACTGAACAGGTACACATATCACTGAACAGGTACACATATCGCTGAACAGGTACACATATCACTGAACAGGTACACATATCATAGAACAGGTACACATCACTGAACAGGTACACATATCACTGAACAGGTACACATATCGCTGAACAGGTACACATATCACTGAACAGGTACACATATCGCTGAACAGGTACACATATCACTGAACAGGTACACATATCGCTGAACAGGTACACATATCACTGAACAGGTACACATAACACAGAACAGGTACACATCACTGAACAGGTACACATATCACTGAACAGGTACACATATCGCTGAACAGGTACACATATCACTGAACAGGTACACACATCACTGAACAGGTACACATATCACTGAACATGTACACATATCACTGAACAGGTACACATATCACTGAACAGGTATACATAACACAGAACAGGTACACATATCACAGAACAGATACACATCACATCACAGAACAGGTAAACCTATAGCCACAGCTCATCATCACAGACCAGATACACATCACATCACAGAACAGGTACACATATCATTGAACAGGAACACACATCACTGAACAGGTACACATCACTGAACAGGTTCACATATCACACAACAGGTACACATAACACAGAACAGGTACACATCACTGAACAGGCACACATATCACTGAACAGGTATACATAACACAGAACAGGTACACATATCACAGAACAGGTACACATCACATCACAGAACAGGTACACATATCATTGAACAGGTACACACATCACTGAACAGGTACACATCACTGAACAGGTTCACATATCACACAACAGGTACACATAACACAGAACAGGTACACATCAAATCACAGAACATGTACACATCTCACAGAGCAGGTACACATCAAATCACAGAACATGTACACATATCACAGAACAGGTACACATCAAATTACAGAACATGTACACATATCACAGAGCAGGTACACATCAAATCACAGAACAGGTACACATAACACACAACAGATACACACATCACAGAACAGGTACACATATCACAGAACAGGCACACATATCACCACAGCTTGTCATCACTGTAATAGAGAAACTAAGGAAATTAATAAGAAATTGCTCAGAGTATTTACAGAGAATAGAGATTTAGTAAACATTGAAATGTAATTAAAGCCAGATTGATTGATCAACTTTTCATTCTTTATTGAAAATTCCATATTATTTGAATGTTATGTAAATATTCAGGCAGGACAAGAGAGCGCTGCTGAACCAGAGACAAAACGCAGAAGACTTCAGACACCGGAGGGTACTACCTCTGATGGTGACGATGAAGCAGAAGACAGTGAGGATCTGGTGGGTATTAAAAATCAGATAGACAAGGTCAGGTGTGTTTAGAATAGGTCAATAATACCAGGTATGTGTTAAATAGGTCAATAATACCAGGTGTGTTTAGAATAGGTCAATAATACCAGGTGTGTGTTAAGTAGGTCAATAATACCAGGTGTGTTTAGAATAGGTCAATAATACCAGGTTTGTGTTAAATAGGTCAATAATACCAGGTGTATTTAGAATAGGTCAATAATACCAGGTGAGTCTACACACCTGGCTAACAACCATTTCGTCCTTATTTAATATTTCAGTTAAAAAACAATCCAACATGTTTCTTAAAATTTCAGAATTGATATACCTTTTGATATAGGATTAATTTACTTACAAATAGGGTTGTCAAATTGGTAAAATTTTAGTATTCACTACTCCAGAGGTCTTCTGACTGAGTAACAGGCTATAAAAGGGTGGCACTGTGGATAGTGAACTCACCCTTCATCAAGATTGTCGGGGTTTGATTGAATGATTTATAGAAGTTGGAGAAACTTGTTTCATTATTGTTACAACAAAGTTTATATGTAAGACATATATAACCAGCTAATCCGTCAACTTGATAACCAAGTAATAAAAGGCAACAAGTACAGTTTATTTTTACCAAAAGTTATATTTAAAACCAATTTCCACTCGTATGAACTAATAAGTTTACCCATGTAGATACAATATCGACACATACAACAGAACTACATAATTTCAAAAATTTACAACTACAGTCAAAATAAAGGAGCACCCAAAACAAGTTTTTGGTACTCGAAATTACACACGATAACATTTTGGTTGAGAAACATGATTTGGCCAACAAACTCCAAGATGTTTGCACCTTGAAAGGTTTTGCATATAATTTATGATTCAAGTGCCTGTTCCTAAGATGACATAACACATTGTATGTCCCACCCATAAAGATTCCAACTGACAAAGATGGTATGTATGGCATTGCCTTGTGGACCCATTTTAATATCTGTCACAGGTTTAAACAGTGCTGGCTGCATCTGTTACTATTCAGTACAAAACAATATTAATACCTCAGGCCCTGCAATTTTCTTCAATATCAATAAGTGTTCACCTGCTTATTTATAGATAAAAGGTATTATTAGGTTTATTGATTAGGTAACAGGTTTGTGATTTTCCAACCGAGCAACTTGCTAACCATTGATAACCTACTGAAGAAAAATAACATTATCATCAGTTTCTTCAACTTAGTAAAATGAGGATGGGAGGGGTTGTCTCCCTTGTCTTGCATTCATTTGTAGTGTATTCTGTTTATCTTCTAGACAATCCTGCGCTGTTCTAAAGCTGGCTCCATAATGAGGCAAGGACGTGATCGAGTAGTCTCCATGACGACAGATTGGTCAGATAAAATCCTCCTCTGTCATGTGAGTGAGAATGTTATCATTAACATCTGGCTGGTCAGTTACAGCCGACCAGATGTATTCAGAACTACTTCATTATTTGGTTTCATGAAATTAATTAGACATTATTTTGCAGACTGGTATTATTGGTTTTCGAATATATATCAGCACTTATTATTTGTTCTACCAGGGTAATGATTCCTCCATTGAGGTGTTCAAACTTCCATCTGAGCAGGAACTGAGTAAACGGCAGAGTAAACGGCAGAAGAAACTCAACAAAAAGTCAAAGTGAGTGAAGGGTGAGAGTGATGTATGGGGGAGGTATTTCCAGGTTCCCACTGACTTTTAAGTTACCCCCTAGGGTATGGTTTCTCAGTCACCCCCTATGATAAGATTTATCTGTCACCCCCTAGGGTCTGATTTCTCTGTCAACTCCTATGGTATGATGTCTCTGGCACCCCTAGGATATGATATCTCTGTCACACCCTAGGGTATGATTTCTCGGTCACCTTCTAGGAAATGATTTCTCTGTCAACCCCTAGGGTCTGATTTCTCTGTCATCTCCTAAGATATAATTTCTGTAGGGATGACAGAGAACTCATCTCTACGATATGAGTTCTCTGTCATCCCTACAGGAGGCACGGTAGTCTAGTGGTATGATGCCGGGCTCGTGACCGAAGGGTTGCAGGTTCGAGTCACGGCATGGCACTGTGTTATATCTGTGAGCAAGATACTTTACTGACATTTAAACGATGTTATATACATATATTTCTTCACTTGTCTTTTGAATTTTCTCTTACTGATAGTATTAATAGAAAGTTCAGAGCATCTTTAATGCTTGATAAAAATCAGAATCATTTTTTAAAAGGTGAAAATCAAAGGGAACCAATCTTTAATATACAATGTATTTATTTTTAATTACAAGTATCAGTGATATATCAACTTTCTTTTACAAATATCGGTGATATATCAACTTTCTTTTACAAATATCAGTTTCATTGATACATATTTACTTCCATATCATTATCTTTTTATACAACATTTTCATTTACAAAAATCGGCATCTCTGAATACATACATCAGCTTACATCCTTATATCTATAAAGATAAAGGAGCTGAACGCCCTGGATGGTGGGTGGTGGGGGAAAAGGTTCATATTGACTCATCTGCTATAAATGACATCTCCTAAAGGACTCAGCAGATTTTAACCCAATTGTATTGGTAGCATGCTTAGCCCATGGGAAAGGTGAAGTGGATGAAACTCCAGGAGGCTTAGGGGCCAGATAGAAGGGGTTAAATGGGCTGCTTCAGGGGCCTAGGGGCCAGATAGAAGCGGTTAAATTGGCTGATTTTCTTTGAATGACACCTTCAAAACTACTGAGCTGAATTCAACCAAATCATAGTGGTTGCATGCAAAGCCCATAGAAATTGAAAAATTATACAAATCAAGGAGCTGACTATTGGGGGTTGGGTAAAAGGTTAGAAATTGACTATTCTGCTTTTAAAAACATCTCCCAAACTGCTGGGCAGATATCAATTTATTTTGGGCAGATTTCAATCTAATTGCAATAATAGCATGCTTTGCCCATGGTGATTAAAAAGGCATACCAATAAAACGGCTGACATTCCTGGGTCTGAGGGACCTAGTAAAAAGGGTTGAATCGGAAGCTTTGCTTTAAACAACAATTATTTTGGTAGCATCCTTAGCCCATGGGGATCAAAAGTTATACAAATAAAATGTTAAAATTTCTGGGAGCTTTCCTCCCAAACTACTTGGCAGATTTGAACTTAATTTCAAAAATGGTCAGGTGAGCAATTAATAGTCACTGGGCCTCTTGTGTTCATTATCAGCTCACCTGACCCATGGTGCGGAGCAGCATCCCTCATCTGCCCATTAACTTTTCATTAATTTGGTAGGGAGCATCCTTGGTAAAAGTGGTTGAATGGTGTGTAAATAACGGGCCCCCCACTTGGGGGCAGCGATGCTAACCCCAAATGGAAAAAGGGGGTTAATTTTTAAACAACTATTTCTTATATGTGTTTGAAGGGTTTTGACCTTAGTTTACACATTGACCGAGGGACTTCAGTGATTTGTAGATATAGGGCCCAAAAGCAGAAATAGGGTTTAATCTTTAAAAGATTTCAAATATACCTTTGTCTGACAGGCCTGATGGGGAGGAAGGAGAGGCTAAGACAGCAGAACTCACACTTGAGGATGAAATTCAGAAGGTTACATGTATCAAGATGACCTCTAAGATAGCTTCAGTTGATGTGGTGCTGGAGGAAGGTTCACAGGCCAAAGTAAGTACAGGTATTGTGATCCACAAGGTCACATTTCAAGATAAAGAACTCAGGATTTGTTCCTCAATGACAGTTAATGTAAGTACAGGTAGTACCGTCCACAAGGTCACGGGCCAAAGTAAGGGTGATGTTGTCCACAATATCACAGGCCAAGTTGAGTACTGGTGATGTGGTCCTCAAGGTCACAGGCTAAGTTGAGTACTGGTGATGTGGTCCTCAAGGTCACAGGCCAAGTTGAGTACTGGTGATGTGGTCCTCAAGGTCACAGGCCAAGTTGAGTACTGGTGATGTGGTCCTCAAGGTCACAGGCCAAGTTGAGTACTGGTGATGTGGTCCTCAAGGTCACAGGCCAAGTTGAGTACTGGTGATGTGGTCCTCAAGGTCACAGGCCAAGTTGAGTACTGGTGATGTGGTCCTCAAGGTCACAGGCCAAGTTGAGTACTGGTGATGTGGTCCTCAATGTCACAGGCCAAGTTGAGTGGTGGTGATGTGGTCCTCAAGGTCACAGGCCAAGTTGAGTACTAGTACTGGTGATATGGTTCTCGAGGTAAAGGGCAAGGTGAGTACTGGTGATGTGTTCCACAAGGTCACAGGTCAAGATAAAAACTGCTGATTTGGGCCTCAATATCACAGTTCAAGGTTAGTTTCACATGGTCACAGGCCATAGTATGTACTGGTGAAGCTGTCCTCAATGTCAAAGGTCAAGGTAATAACTGATGAAGCTTTCCTCAATGTCACAGGTCAAGGTAATAACTGGTGATGTGGTCCTCAATGTCACAGGTCAAGATAATAACTGGTGATGTGGTCCTCAAGGTCACAGGCTAAGTTGAGTACTGGTGATGTGGTCCTCAAGGTCACAGGCTAAGTTGAGTACTGGTGATGTGGTCCTCAAGGTCACAGGCCAAGTTGAGTACTAGTACTGGTGATATGGTTCTCGAGGTAAAGGGCAAGGTGAGTACTGGTGATGTGTTCCACAAGGTCACAGGTCAAGATAAAAACTGCTGATTTGGGCCTCAATATCACAGTTCAAGGTTAGTTTCACATGGTCACAGGCCATAGTATGTACTGATGAAGCTGTCCTCAATGTCAAAGGTCAAGGTAATAACTGCTGCAGCTTTCCTCAATGTCACAGGTCAAGGTCATAACTGGTGATGTGGTCCTCAATGTCACAGGCCAAGGTAATAACTGGTGATGTGGTCCTGAATTTCACAGGTCAAAGTAATAACTGGTGATGTGGTCCTCAAGGTCACAGGCTAAGTTGAGTACTGGTGATGTGGTCCTCAAGGTCACAGGCTAAGTTGAGTACTGGTGATGTGGTCCTCAAGGTCACAGGCCAAGTTGAGTACTAGTACTGGTGATATGGTTCTCGAGGTAAAGGGCAAGGTGAGTACTGGTGATGTGTTCCACAAGGTCACAGGTCAAGATAAAAACTGCTGATTTGGGCCTCAATATCACAGTTCAAGGTTAGTTTCACATGGTCACAGGCCATAGTATGTACTGGTGAAGCTGTCCTCAATGTCAAAGGTCAAGGTAATAACTGATGAAGCTTTCCTCAATGTTACTGGTCAAGGTAATAACTGGTGATGTGGTTCTCAATGTCACAGTTCAAGGTAATACCTGGTGAAATGGTCCTCAATGTCACAGGTCAAGGGAATAACTGGTGATGTGGTTCTCAATGTCACAGGTCAAGGTAATACCTGGTGATGTGGTCTTCAATGTCACAGGTCAAGGTAATAATTGGTGATGTGGTCCTCAATGTCACAGGTCAAGGTAATACCTGGTGAAATGGTCCTCAATGTCACAGGTCAAGGTAATAACTGGTGATGTGGTCCTCAATGTCACAGGTCAAGGTAATAACTGGTGATGTGGTTCTCAATGTCACAGGTCAAGGTAATAACTGGGGATGTGGTCCTCAATGTCACAGGTCAAGGTAATAGCTGGTGATGTTGTCAACTTCACAGGTCAAGGTAATAACTGGTGATGTGGTTCTCAATGTCACAGTTCAAGGTAATACCTGGTGATGTGGTCCCTAATGTCACAGTTCAAGGTAATACCTGGTGATGTGGTCCTCAATGTCACAGTTCAAGGTAATACCTGGGGATGTGGTCCTCAATGTCACACGTCAAGGTAATAACTGGTGATGTTGTCCTCAATGTCACAGTTCAAGGTCATACCTGGTGATGTGGTCCCTAATGTCACAGTTCAAGGTAATAACTGGTGATGTAGTTCTCAATGTCACAGTTCAAGGTAATACCTGGGGATGTGGTCCTCAATGTCACAGGTAAAGGTAATAACTGGTGATGTGGGCCTCAATGTCACAGGTCAAGTTAATAACTGGTGATGTGGTTCTCAATGTCACAGGGCAAGGTAATAACTGGTGATGTGGACCTCAATGTCACAGGTCAAGGGAATAACTGGTGATGTGGTTCTCCATGTCACAGGTCAAGGTAATACCTGCTGATGTGGTCCTCAATGTCACAGGTAAAGGTAATAACTGGTGATGTGGGCCTCAATGTCACAGGTCAAGTTAATAACTGGGGATGTGGTTCTCAATGTCACAGGGCAAGGTAATAACTGGTGATGTTGTCCTCAATGTCACAGGTCAACTTAATAACTGGTGATGTGGTTCTCCATGTCACAGGTCAAGGTAATACCTGGTGGTGTGGTCCTCAATGTCACAGTTCAAGGTCATACCTGGTGATGTGGTCCCTAATGTCACAGTTCAAGATAATACCTGGTGATGTGGTCCTCAATGGCACAGTTCAAGGTAATAACTAGTGATGTGGTCCTCAATGTCAGAGGTCAAGGTCATACCTGGTGGTGTGGTTCTCAATGTCACAGTTCAAGGGAATAACTGGTGATGTGGTTCTCAATGTCATAGGTCAAGGTAATAACTGGTGATGTAGTTCTCAATGTCACAGTTCAAGGTCATACCTGGTGATGTGGTCCTGAAGGTCACAGTTCAAGGGAATAACTGGTGATGTGGTTCTCCATGTCACAGGTCAAGGTAATAATTGTTGATGTTGTCAACTTCGCAGGTCAAGTTGAACACCATTAATTAATAACTGGTGATGTGGTTCTCAACGTCACAGTTCAAGGTAATACCTGGTGATCTGGTCCTCAATGTCACAGGTCAAGTTAATAACTGGGGATGTGGTTCTCAATGTCACAGGGCAAGGTAATAACTGGTGATGTGGGCCTCAATGTCACAGGTCAAGTTAATAACTGGGGATGTGGTTCTCAATGTCACAGGGCAAGGTAATAACTGGTGATGTTGTCCTCAATGTCACAGTTCAACGTAATAACTGGTGATGTGGTTCTCAATGTCACAGGTCAAGGTAATAATTGTTGATGTTGTCAACTTCACAGGTCAAGTTGAACACCATTAATTGGTTAAGATATTATATTTCTATTGATAAAAATTGTATAGAAATTGTATATTTTAAATATACATTTGATACAGTGTAATTTAATTCAAACAAGATAAGATGTTGTGTAGATATAAGATCTAGAGGATGTCCTGTTACAGGTGGTGGCCGTACTTAACAACAACTCACTCCAGACATGCTCCTGTAACACTGAGGTGAAGAAGGGTGCAGCAGACAACGTGAAGACTTTGGCTGTTCTAGGTCACCGAACAGATGTGAGGACGGTCAGTTTCAGCTCAGATAACACAGCTGTACTCTCTGCCAGTGGGGAGGCAGCCAAGATATGGAACAGGTACACTGTGATTACCAAGTTGTCATGTTATACTGAAATGACAATATTTTGCATGGGAGCAGAGGCATCATGTCTTACAGACTTTTTCTATGTTTTTTTTGGAGAGGATCCTGGTCTGAAATCAACGAATCCTTATTCTAATTCAACAGATAAAATTTTGGTCTATCTTTTGTCTGAAAAACCTGAAGTAATGCAATTTGTTGTTGAAAATTACATTGAAAGTGACATAAATTGGTAAAATAGAGCACGAATATTGTAGAAAGTAAGGGTACTTTCATTGGAAATGGGTTTCTGTTACTGGATAGATGTCTTTACATTTCCCTGGAAAGTTCTTGATTCATGGATATGATTGTGTTTTGATAACTGTACTTTGTGCTTGTAATTGCAGGTCGACGTTGCAGTGTATACGGACGATGCCCTGTAGTTATGCCCTGTGTTCCACCTTTGCCCCTGGCGACCGACACATCATTGTGGGCACCAAGGTAACGAGGCCTGTTGACTATACCACTTTACATATGATAATTTGACATGTGTGTTAAATTATAGTTTATATACAACTTTTATTGCTCCCTTAAGCTTGCTTATATATATTATAGGTTGTTTTCCTACAGTGGAGCAGTTAGATATATATGTGTGAATTAACTTCAGTTCATTTCCTTGTTTTAATACGTGTGGCAATTCTTGTATCTAGGTTTTTCATGTTTATGTTTTTATGCAAATTAGGGGAGTGTTAACCAATCAGCATTAACCCCTAGAGGGTATGTTGTATTGTCAGTGCCCCTCATTATTGATTTCTGGCGGGTGTTGGTGTGTTTGCTTTTCGCGTATTATTTACCTTTTGAACTTTACTACTCTACGTTATTTACGAAGGATTAATCATAAACTTCTGTAACGTTACATCACGGGGATATTCCCCCTTTGTGTGAGAAAGACACCGGATTACTTGGATTCTTCTACGAACAAGGATTCGTACAACTTTAGCACAGAATCATGAGTACGGAACTTCGGTGTTTGCGCTTACGTTTGTATTTCACCTAGCTTCCAGGCTTTCATATTTCGCCTCTGCATTACTTCGTTAGTGACTCATACGTTCACGGATTATTCATTCGTATGTGGGTGTGCGTAAAGAACTAGGTGAATTAGGCCGTGACTTTACTCAGCATTAGCTTGATCTATTTATAGATCTCTTTGTTTACATACGTGCGAACACGAGTGCTTCGTGTACATTGGGGCCTAAACGTACTGTGAATAGGGCAGTTCCATACGACACTGAACTTTTAGAAAATGGACGCTTTCACGGCTACGGGGCGAACTTAAAAATCTAGGGATTGCTTTCAAATCTAGTGACAGACGTATGGTGTTAGTGAGAAAGCTGAAGGACGCCAGGACCCTGGGCCGTGTGCAAAGTAGGCCAACAAGTGCGCGATCCCAGGTTGCAACGGGGCAAGATGGTGGCACTCAAGATGGCGGCGCCAATGATGACAGCAATAGCCACATGGTTCGGATCGTTTCAAGTTTTGTGGACAGCGTGGCTACTCTGCAGGAGAGCTACCTGAGATTGGAACAACATCTGATTTCATCAGGTAGTGGAACTGAGGCATCTCCAGTTACTACTAGGCAGCAAGCGTCTCCTGCTGCAGCGGCTGGCAGTGAAAGTCATCTAGCTTCGTCTAGGGATAGGCTCGCCTCCAGTTCTACGCTCCCGGAGTATACCTTGGAAACGGCGTACAGAAGGCTTGGGGAATCATCTGAATTTACTTCTTATTCATCACGTCAAGGTGAGACAGGTTCCATGCGTACTAGATTTGGTTTTGCGGCTGACACGCTACCTCTTGTTGAAACAATCTCTCCTTCTCTAAGACATCAGATTATTACATGACGTGATGTCAACTTAGCAGCCTTACTAATTCCGTACTTCAGCGGCCAAAGCCACCCTAGTTGTCAGTCTTCAGAAAAACCTGACTCGCGGCTTACTAGGAACCTCACTTTGAGCGAGTTTATATTGGCGTTTGGCGTGTATAAGCAAGTGATGTGTTCAGCCCACACTTCTCGTCGTATTGAGCTAGACTTATATGAGAGGGACATTGTGGATATGGTTTCTCGCTATCAGTCTTCAGCTTTTTACGAGTATCATTGACAGTTCTCTATGAGAGCAGCAGTCCAGCTGCGTTACAACATGTCCCCATCGACTGGTCAGTACGCGATAATAGGCTTTTTGCAATACTTTTGCTAACCACAAACCTGCGTCATGTGAAGGATGTGATAGTACCTTACACACTACTGGTTTCTGTCCCAATTTGAGCAACAAATCACGTCTTAACTTAGAAAGTGGTACAGGAACTCAAAGTCAGGGCATTCTCGAAGCCAAAGCTCTTCTTCTCTCGATGCTAAGGGACCCACTAAGGTGTTTCATGACGGCCGCGAGATCTGTAACAACTTTAGCGGCCAGTTTGGCTGCAGCATGACGTCATGTTTTTTCCTCCATATATGTTTGAACTGCAAGGGAGGTCACCCTAAGTCAGCCTGCCCTTTAGAAATAACAGAGCCTCCAGTGAAGAAGAGATAACCCGGTATGTATGTGGTATTCCCCTTAAGGCAACTACACCCATTAACATTGCTGCATTAAAGCTCGAATTGAAGAATCATCCGGATAAACAGTTCGTAAATCATCTTCTTGACGGGTTAACTCACGGTTTTGATACAGGTTTTCAATACCTGCCAAGGAATTCTATTATCTGCAAAAACGTGAAGTCTGCCTTGGCTGATCCAGACTGTGTTACTAAATTAGTGGATAAAGAGCTTAATAAAGGCTATCTTATTGGTCCTTTTGACTCTGTACCTTTCCATAAGTACAGGATAAATCCTATTGGCCTAGCCGAGCATAAATAAAAAGACTCGCCTCATTCTGGATTAGTCTGCTCCTCACCAAGATGATTCCAATCCGAGCCTTAATAGCCTCATCGATAAGATCACATGCTCTTTGAAATACGTCACTATTGACGATGCTGTGCGTAATCATCAAAGTCTTTGACACAGATGCCTGGTTAATGAAAACTGACATCACCGACGCTTTCAAGTTGCTGCCTATCAAACCAGAACTGTGGCCTTATCATGGCATTCAGTGGAACAATCAGTTTTATTTCTTCACAAGACTTGTGTTTGGGAGTCGTTCTAGCCCAAAGTTGTTTGATAACCTATCGCGTGCTATATGCTGGATCGCTAGTACTAATTACAACATCTCTAATATATTATATCTTCTAGACGATTTCTTATTGGTAGAACCAGCTCAGGCTAACGCTACAGCTACTATGGAACGATTCCTGTCCATTTTTAGGTCACCTGAGACAAAGTCTCAAGTGACCTATTGTGATCGCCTTTTGTCCGGTGTCGTCCGCCGTGCGTCCGTAAACAATTTACATTTTCGACTTCTTCTCAAAAACCCCTGAACCAATTTCAATGAAATTTAGCAGGAACCTTCCATGGACAAAGGTCAACAAAAATTGTGGCTGGTTTAGTCCCAAGACCCCAGGGGCCTGAGGGGGGGGGGCAAAAAGGGGCAAATTGACTAAAATTTCAAAAATCTTCTACTCAAGACCCAGATATGGTAGAATTAAACACTCTTCATAGATGGAAGGATCTTAAAGTGCTTTACCAATTGTGAATTTCTTGACCCTGGGGTCTCACGTTTCCCCCTGGGGAGGGGGTAAACTTTACTATAGTTTATATAGGGAAATCACATTTTGGACCAACATTTGTTTAATTTCCATTGGAAGTTATTCAATTTAGGTTAGCATTATCAGTATGGGATAGCAGTTTGATGGTATGCACATATCAGCCCTGACTGACCCCCAGGGGCTGATGGGTGGGGCCAAAAAGGGTGGAATTGACTGAAATTTTAAAAATATTCTTCTCAAAGACCCAGATATGGTAGAATCAAATACTCTTCATAGATGGAAGGGTCTTAAGGTTTATGACCCTAGGGTCTCACGTTTACCCCCTGCTGAAGGAGGGAGGGGGGCAAACTTTATTATGGTTTATCATGGCAAATGAAACTTTGAATATTACATGTTAATAACTTGATTGGAATTATAACCTTGAGTTGACAGTTTGATACTTTGAAAATTTTGAGCCAGCCCTACCCCCAAGGGCTGTAGGGTGGGGCCCAAAGGAGTCAGTGTGCTAAAATTTCTTTATTTTCCTTTTTTAGAATCAGAGGTGCTACCCCTGCGAAATGATTATGAATAATTCATGAAACTTCATGAACAGTTCATGAAATATTCATGAATAATATTCATGAATGTTCTTGATTTGTTCATGAATATTTTCATGAAATTCATGAACTTAAAACTTCATGAATAATCTTGAGCAAAATATTTCATGAAAATTCATGAATATAAATTCATGAATATTCATGAATGTTAAATCATGAACTTTCATGAATATAAAATCATGAATATTCATGAATATATGAATTCATGAACATTCATGAAAAATGGCAACAATTCATGAATGTTCATGAATGTTCATGAAGAAAACGTCCCATTTTAAGTTCATGAATTGAAAATGCTTGAAATATTCATGAACATTCATGAACATGTACAAATTACCACATTTCATGAACTTTCATGAAAGTTCATGAAAGTCTAATACCATATGAAAATAAACAATGGAATTCCACTTGGATACCAGAGGAAATACCACTGGATTCCACCAGCAATTTGACCTGGAATTTGTGGCCAAATTGCCCAGTGGATTCCAGTGGTATTTCCACTGAAATACCTAGCCAGTGGTCACTGAAATTCAAATTGGAATCACTTATATGAAGATAACAATAATAATGGACATTCAATAGATTCTGAATTTACAGTTATGACGGTATATATAATCATTCATGCTGTGTTTAAAGTTAGAAATAATGCAAGTAACGTCACAAATATCTTTTAAACATGAAAAAATGACAGTTGAATAACATATATATTTGCAAAAGTTTTTACTGCTACATATTTAGCATTGTTAAATATGAAATATGGATGCATGGTTCACATATGGTCTGTGTGGTTTCAAGAATATGATACAGCTGACATTATTAGGTTAGAGTTGTAGAATACAGGTTTCCCAAAACTCTTGAAATTTATCTGTATTGTATATGCAAATACATGCTGGTTTCCTCGTTGTAGAACTTGCACACTTTTTACCCGGTCTACTTATTGCGAGTCTATCCATTCTCCATGTAACAATTGATGGTGTTTGAAGTTCGAAATGTTCGTCTTCTATTTCGTCTAAATCACTGAGTTTGTTCAAAGCTTTTTAAACAAATTTGGAATTAGGATCGGAAATAATAATTCCTTCACCATTAAGTTTTTGTTTTGTCAGTAACAAACACTTTATTTCCAATTGCAAGCTCCACACTGTACGTTCCAATTATTACTGTTGTCATTTTTCTTGGTAGAACTTCTTTTGCCTAAACTTTTATCTAAAAGAT